AATTGTTTTAAAGTAATAAATCCTTAACATTATCCATTTGAATAAAGTGAAATTTTCGAAGAAAAATTCCAAAATTGTTTGACAAGATATGTCCAATCTTACGAATTAACAAAATAAGCAATGATGAAAAAAGATTCGAATGCATAACATAATGTAATGAGTAAATGAAATAAATAAATATTAAATCCAAAAATAATTATTTAGAAATTTTATAATGAAAATAATATTAAAAAAAAATTAAATTGAATCTTTATTCATATAACAAAATTATGTTTAAATTATTTTTTATTAACATTTTTTTTGTTTTTTTTAATTTTTTTTGGAAAGAACAAAAAATAAAAAATGAGAAATTCAATTTAATAATCAAATTATTTATTTTTATTATACTAAAATTTATATATATAAATATATTTATATAAGATTTAAAATGGACTTTAAAATATTTATTTTTTTATAAATATTAAATGTACATTTAATATATTAATATGTAACTTTTTTTAAAGCAAATAAATAAATATGTAAAAAAAATATACATGTTATATATTAATATAACATTTTTAATAAATATCATTTAAAATAGTTAATAACATCTATCTAATAAGCAATTTTGTTCATTTAATTATATTATTTAAATTAGCTAAATTAAATAAATAATTAATATATATCTATATGTAAATATTATATATGAATTATAATATTTTATTATTGTTAATAATATATTTTATTCTATTTTCCATTAAAAATATTATAAACACTTATCTTAAATAAATGCTTTTAATAAAAGTTTTATTATTATTATTATTATTAAATTAAATTAAATTAAACAATTTGTTCAAATTAAATGGATAATATTGCTATACATATAATTCATAATTTAATATTTTTAATAAATAAATTTAATTATTCCCCAATTTTGATTTTTTTCCATTATAATATAAAAAAAAATGGTCAATTTATAATATAAGCAACCTAAAATATGAAATGTTTTTTTTTTTAAAAAAAAAATATTATTTTAATTTTATCAAATTTTTGAAAATGTAAGCACTTTTATTTCTATTTAATCATTTTAAGTATATATTTAAATACAATTTCTTATTTCTTTCATATAAGTGATTCTTAAATAAGTTTAATTTATTATAAAGTAACTCTTTAGGTTTAAAAAAATTAATATTTCTGAATTTATATAATTTTTTAAATAAAAATATGTAATAATAATTTATTTTTTATAAAATTATTTAGTTTATTTTAATTAAATAAATATATCTTAGTTAATTACAAAAACTATCTTTTATAATTTTCTTATAATCTTTTTTTATATAAATAGTTATGTTATTTCTATTTACAACTTTAAACTTTTATTATAAATATTTATTATTAATATATATTAATTAATTTTTTTTTGTTTTTTTGTGAATTTTTTTAATATAATTTAAAATAAAGTTAATGGATTTCAATATTACGCAAATTAAAAAGTTTTAAAGAAAAAATAATAATAGTTTTAAAATATTAGTAATATAAGTTTGGTAATTCTAAGGTAAAAATTAAATATAAAAATAAAAATATTAATAATTTATAATTTCTAAGAATTTTTAGTCCTAATCTTATAATTCATAAAGATTAAATAGTTTTTTTAATATATTGAAGACTTTGAAAAGGTATTGGTTTATAAACAAAAATTTAAATAAAATATTTTTTGATTTTAAATAATTTATTTAATTAATATTTATTTATTTTATATATATTATAATTTATTAAATAAATTTTTATTTTTATCATTATTAAAAATAATTTTTAAAAATAATATTTATTTTAATAATTTATTTATTGATATATTATTTTATAAAAAAAAAAAAATCTTTTAATTTATTATATATAATTTATAGATAAATAAAAAAATATAATAAATAAATATTATTTTTTATAAAAATATTTATAATTATATTATTTTAGATAATTTAGATTGTAATTTTTTTTATATTTATTGTCTTTATAATATATATTTAACTACTTATGTCCATTACAAAATATAGTATAAAAAAATTCAAATAAATTTTTTTTATCCTTTTATAAAATTTTATTAAATAAATATTTTTTAAAATTTATTTAGGGGTGAATATATTTTTAATATTATATAAAAACAAAATATTTTTTTTTTTTTAAATTATATCAATTTTTATCTATATTTTAAAATATAATTTTTATATTTATTTATTTATTTATTTATTTATAATTTTTTTTTAATTTTAAAATTATAAAGTTGTCATTATTTAATCTATTTAAATATAATTAATGATAATATCTATAAAAATAAAATATTTAATTTTTAAAAGTTAATTTTATTATTTTTTATATATTTTCTATTTTTAATAATTATTTGTTTTTTAAAAACAATATTAATCTACTTTACTATTTAATTATATTTATATATAAAAAAAAGATAGCTAAAAAAAATATTTAATTATTAAATAAATAAAATTTTAAATATGTTTTATGATAATAACCTAAATATTTAGTTAATTTTTATTAATTAGAGCGTTATTTTTACTTTTTTTTCGATAAAAAATAAAGATGTTAATGCTTATTTCCCTATATTTAAAATATTAAATTATAATTTTAATAAACATTTTTATTTTATATCAAAAAATTAAAACAAAAAACATTATTTTATATTTATATTTAAATACATTTTTTTTATAAAAAAACTATGTAATAATATTAAGCCTAATAATTAATATTAATTATATTTATAATTCTAAACCATATGTATGCATTAGGATTAAAATAAATAATCTATTCTTTCGAATAGGAAACATAAAGTAATTTTTATAATACTGATTTATAATGGAATTCTTATGAACTTTTTTAATGTTAATCTGAGAAATTTTTAAAATTTCCAAATAACCAAATATTATAAAGAACTTATTAAAATATATTACCACATTTTTAAATGTCTATTAATATATAGTGTAAAATAATAAATAAATAATTTTTTAAGTAATAATTAATTTTATAATTATGAAAAAATATTAGTTGTATATGCATTAAATATGTAAATTTAAATTTCAGATATAATTATAACTATAGACAATAAATAAATAATCTTAGAGTAAGATAATTCTATTAAAATTGGGATATAATGTGAAGAAAATTCCTTCAATACATTAAAAATATATGGAATTATCGAAAATCATTCAAATTAAAAATTTAATTTACAAATTAAAAATATAAACTAAAAAGCTACTGATTTATATATAAATTAGTTCGAAATATTTGTAAACCCATGTAATCCATCATGTTTAAGTTGTTAATAAAATAATCATATTTTATGTACCAAATGTGACCCTTCGGCAATTTTATCTACAGAAGATAATATGTGTTATTGTAAAAAAAACGAAAATCCAATAAATGTTTTAGTTCCAATGTAATGTATTGATTAAATATTAAATTCTTCAGTTTAATATTTTTCATTTTGTGATTACTAATTTTCTATGTATTTTTTTTAAAAAATATTATATATATATATATATATATATATTTATATATATATTTATATACATATTTATAATAAAAAGATATATTTAATTAAATAATTATTTTTTATTTTTATAAGCTAAATTGAAGATATTTTAATAATTTAAGATATAAAAATATTATAAAAAGACAATAGTTTTTATTTAGATTTTTAATTAGAATTAAACTATAAAAATTCATTGATTATCTAATACTGTTTAGATCATTTTTTTTTTATATAATTAAATTATTTAGATAATTAAACTTCCTCTTTTTAAAAATTTCCTTAATAATATATAATTTCTGAATTAAATAACATTTAAATAAATGCTTTGATTCCTCTTATATAAATCGATAAAATAGCTCATATATAAGAAAATAGAGAAAATAATATTTATTAAGAAATATAATTTTAGTTATTAATGTAATCAACAGATAAAATATATAAAACTTATTTTTTTAAGAATTTTATATATACAGAAAAGGGATAATAATAAATTTTTACTTTATCTTTAAAATAATAAATAACTGATTAGTGCAGTTCAGATTAATAGTGTTTACCTGTTTTTGCTGATTTGGGTACTTCTGCAATTATTTGTAAAGATTTAAATTGTTTAGAATAAAAAGAAAATAACGTTTTTAAAGTTAGCGAGATAATGTACGTTTAAATAGTATTAAACGATTAAAGTTATTTAAAAAAATTAGGACTTAAATAAGTTATGTGTAAATTCGATGATAATAAAATATTTAATATTACTGATTAAACTTTAATTGTTAATTCTTTAAATGGGAAAATTATTCTCGGAATTAAGCTTTTATAACCTTCTGTTAATGCAGTTTGTTAAGTTAATTTATAAATAGAAAGTAATTTAAGAATTTTGGGATTTTCAGAAAAATAAAAAAATTCTTAAGTTATTTTCAGAACACAAATTTTAGGTAAGAAAGAATAAAATATTAATGAAAAAAATATTAGTATAGATAATAATAATATTTTTATAAATTAATTTTATTCCTTTATTTTTTTAATATATATTATATAATATTGATAATAATAAAAATAAATAATATTAATTTTTTTTTAAATAATATATATATATATATATATATATATTATATATATATATATATATATATATATATATATATATATATATATATATTTTTCTTAATTATTGATATCATAATGAAATATATATATATAAATAAAAATATAAAAAATAAATAATTATTAATTGATATAAATATGTTTGAATTTTTATTATTATTATTTTTTTTTTTTTTTAAATAAAATAATAAAATCTCTTTTATTTAAATCTAAAAAGACATAATTAGTTTTTTTGATATTTTTTTCAAAACAATTACTAATCAGCAAAATATTAAACATTATAAAACTCAGTTTTAATTTCTCTTCCGTCATATTTTTTACCCTAAAATAAATTAAGTATAATTTAATTTTTAAATAAATATACCTAAAGTAAAAAATTAGCTACTTAACATATTTTTTCATTTTCAAATTCGACAAAAACTAAACCAACAGAATCTGGCTAATATTTTTCTTTAAGTCTAGGAATAATCATTTATTTTAATCTTCCAAACTTTACAAGTTGCTATTTTAAATCATTATATATGAATTCATATTCAGGATCTTCTTCAATAACTTATTTATCGATAACATTTTTTATTTTAAGTACACTAGTAGCTTCTTCTTAATTTAATCCTGAATATTTTTAACCTTCGTTAGATATAACTTTTTAAATATATTCTTCTTGAATATCTTTAAAACCAGATTCCAAAATTGATTTATTTATAAAATCACATAAATTTTTCACTAAAACTTCTATTGGCTGCATTTATTCTTCTACAGGAGGAGCCAAATTAGGGTTACATCTTTTCACATTTATTATTTTATTCACTTTGTTTTTTTTTTATTTTTTTTTTAAAAAAAAAAATTATAATTTATTTTTTTAAATAAATAATTTTATTTTTACATATTTATTATCCACTTAATTAATTTAAACAATCCATAGTTGCTTTGTCTGTTAAATATTCACAAAAAGCAAATCCTTTAGATTCCCCTGTATAAATATCTACTGCTAAATGGAATGAGCGTAATTCACTTTTTTATAAGAAAAAATAAATAAATAAAAATAAAATAATAGAAAATATAATAAATAAAATAAAATAGAAATAAAATAAAATAATATTTGTATAAATAAAATATTACCCGTAATTTTAAAGTATCTACATTACATGTTCTTCACTTATTGTTTCCGGGATATTCATTACTTATAACTTTTTAATTTTTTAAAAATAATAAGATATTCTATTTTATATAATTTTACTTTATTATATGTATTTTCAACTTATGTTTAAACTATTCTAAGCTTATTTCTATCAAGTATAGGAATTTTTCTAGTTCCTTCTACTTATGGCATTGTTGTATAGTCCTTGGGTCTTCTAAATCTTAAACTTTTTCCTTTCTTTAATATATTTATTTATTAAATAATAAATATTGATATAAATTAATTTAATTATTCTACATATAAAATTCCGTCTAATTACATACAAGCACTCGTTTCTTCGATAGACCTTAATTATAAGAAAATGAATTTTTTAATAGGATCATTTTTTTTGCTAATAATCTTTGTTTTAAAAAAATTAAATATAAATATATATATATATATATAATTAGTTTATAATATATATATTTGTTATATTATAATTTAAATATAATAACAGGATTTCCTGGTTCTAAAAGTCCTCCAGATTCAAGTAAACTTTTGTAAACAAAGTGACAAACATCTTCTGTATCTATAGGATCAGGAATATTGCCAATATAAATTCGCCTAAAAAAAAATGAAAAAACTTATATTTTAAATAAAAGTAAAGTATAAATATTTAAAAAAACAAATAAAAATATAAATATGTATTTATTTATATATTTAAATATATATATATATATATAAATATATATATAAAAAAAAAAAATTATATATATATATATATATTTTTATAAAATTTTTAATTATATTTATATATATATATACATATATTTATACTATATACATATATATTAATACAATGCGTGAATATAATTTTTTTATAATGCCGGCGGAATCTTATTTCCAATACTCATATCACCTATTCCCAATCCCAATTAATTTGTATATAATTATGAAGCTAAAGGAATAGTTGCACTTTCCATTACTTATTATCCTAATCTTAATCCAGGGTCAATTTAAGACACTGGATTTATTACTGCTGGTTATACTTTAGGTGGAGAACTGAATACATTTCTTGTTCTTTTTTCTGTAGTATTTGTTGTTTATGTCGTTAAATTTTGTCCTCCTGCGGGGGTTGTTGATATTGATTATGCTGAAGAAATATTAGGTGCCTATACTGTATTAGTTAATAATGGGTTTATTATTTGCAAAGGGTTTTATAAATTTGGTATTTATTAAGGTGTTGTGGATGTATTTAAAGGTGTTTTGATTAAATTTGCAATATTCGAAGGTACTTAAGGGGGTACTATGGATGTTACTAAAGGAATTTTTTTAAATTTGGTGGATTCTCGTCTTCTTGAGGAAGAAGAAGAACGTGATTCGGATGCACTACTACTACTTCTTGATTAATTTGTGTATTTTTTTTGGGCTTTTTTATGTTTGTCTTTTCGGCGGCTTTTTTTTTCTTTTCTTTTGTTACTTCGGGAACGGGATTTCTTTTGATTATTTTTTTTTTGTTTTTTATATTTTTTAAATTATTTTTTTACTTTATGGGATTTTTTACTTTATTTTTTGTCCATTTTTTTTTATTTTGGCTTTTTTTAAAAAAAATTAAATAGGTAATTTTTTTAATTTTTGGAAGAAATATATATCTTAGTATATTTTTTTGTTTTTTGTTCTTTTTTTAATATTAAAAAAAAAAAAATTGTCTAGAAATTAAATATTTATAAAATATAAAAAAAAATTTTGATTTCATAAATAATTCTATTATTTTAATTGATTTTCCTTTAATGAAATAATATCATAACTTTATTTTTTAATATTATTTTCATTTACTACTTATATTTTCTCATTTTCTTTGTTTTGAATATCTTTAACATTTTTAGTTAATTTATATTTTAATTTTTTATTTTTTCTAATAATAATGAATAGAATATTTAAAATTTTCATCTTTTTCGAAATAATATAATTTCCATTTTTTCGAAATCTACTTATATCCAGCAATTTAAATGCCTAAAATGTAAATATATACCAAAATTAAAGGCTTATAAAAAGCAATATCTATTAAATATTAAAGCATTTCATTAAAAAATATTAAGTTATAAAATAAAGTAAAAATACTATTATTTTATCCATCTAAAATTCCACATATTTTCCCAGAATTATCTTAAAAAAAATTAATATCAACTTCAAAAGAATTAGAGAAAAGTAAAAAAAAGAAAAATAATAAAATAGAAAAAAAATAGCAATTACTTAATATACAAAAAATTTATCGATCACTTAAAGTATTAAATTAGCAAGAAAAATTTTTTTTTATTGAACAATAATTATGCATAAATAAGATAAATTAAAAAATAAATGAAACAATAAATATTCCTATATTATATTTAAAATTTATTAAAAGCAGTAAATTTAAAATTATGATGCGGTTTGTACTTTCAATAATATTAAATTCCAAAAAAAATTACTTTCGGTTATTATCATATTAATCATAATTTGTGGTTTAAGTGAAAAATTTATTCCAAAAATGTTCTAAATACCAATTTATATAAATGAATAAATAATAACTAATAAAAAGTCCTAAGAAGCTTTAAGAAATTAACTATTCGGGACATTGAATATTCCCTTCGTAAATAAACATTTTATTTAAAAAAGGAACTAAGTCTTTTTTATAATATTATACATTTACCCTTAAAATACAGTATAATACATAACAAATAGATTTAATAAAAAATTAATTATATTTTTCAGAAATTAATTTTTTATCTAATTTTTCATGGTATTCAAAATATTGGGTTAACTTAGTTATTTTTGAAAAAAGCTCTATTATTAATATTATAACAAATCCTAAAATTATTTCATTCAAAATTAAAATAGAAGTTAGTTAGTAGAATTATTTATAATAAATACTTAGTAATTTAAATAAATAAAAGCATGCAACTATTAATGATAAATTTATAATTTTAATAAAAAAATTCTTTAGTTTTAAAAAAGTTTATGTAGATACAATTTAAATTTCTTTTATTTTAAGTTTATAATAATCAATTTCATTTAAATACTGTATTTTCTTAAAAAGAGAAAATTAATATTTTTTAACAAAAAAAATCTAATTTAATTTCCAATTGTATTAACTAAAAATTACATTAAATCGTTTATTTTATAATTTTTTTTTAAATTATTATTAAATTTTTAATTCTTTGCTTCTAACAAAATAATAATATATCATAATTAGCTAAATAATTAAAACTGAAAAAAAAATAATAAAAAATCCAATTTAAATATTATTATTTTAATCTAATTAATAATAAAATAAAATTTCTAAATATTTATTTTAATGAAAATTCTATAAATTTAAATTATATATAAATAAAAAAATATATTATCTAAATTTAAATATATAAACATTATTTAATCTATATATATATATATTTTATAATATATATATTATATTTATATTTTTTTTTAATTTACAATTTAATTTATCATCAAATATAGGCTAAATAATATATAAATAAAGTTAAAATTAATGAAAATTTATAAAAACCTAAAATAATAAACAGTTTTTTTATCAAAACAATTCGAAATGTTATATGTAAACTTATTCAAAAAATTATTTTTTTAAATTAACTATAAAAATACTAATAAAAAATCAAAAAAAACTTTTTATTCTTTGTCTTTAATTTTTCTATTTTATAATTAATCTATAATATTATTCGATGTTTATTAATCTATTTATTTTTCTAAACTAACCATTAGTTTTTTATATTAATCATTTATATTTTATTATTATTATTATTTTTTAATATTTTCTTAAACATATTTAGAAAGTCCTTATTATGCGCTTAATTTTTTCTCTCTTGTTTCTATATTGATATCAATTGAATTACATTCTGTATTTAATTAATCTGAATTTTAACCAATTTAAATGTTATTAATAGTTTTTTAAGGTTTTTATTCTTATAATTTTTAAATAGGATATAATTAATTTTTTTAGTTATTTTATTTCTATATTAATTACTCTTCACTCTATTATATCATTTTATTCGAAATTTATCCACTATTTTACTAACCTTCTTGTATTTTATTTTTTTAAAATAATGATTTTCTTTAAGGCATTTGATCATTAGTAAATTCTTTTAAAGTAAAAGTATTTCTATTCTTATTAATATTAATTTAATTATTGCCTACAGTAGATTCTCTAGTTCTATAAGATTTTCTATAAGCTTAATATTTTTGAATATCTGTTTATCTTCTAATTTCTAAGTTTCTTTATTTTTATTTATTACTTTTATGTTTTTTTCGTTTATAATCATCTTCTGAACTACTACTTTTAGAAGAACTTGAACTAGTTATTGATTCTGAAGAAGAAGAGTTTATATCTTTAATATCGAATATCATTTTTTGTTTTATTTTTTTCATATATATTTAAAAATTAAGTAAATAAAAAAGGTTATTTTTTTATTTCTTGTTATTGTTTTTTTTTTTTTATTATTATTTTCGTTAAATAATTAATTTAAATTAATATATATTAAAAATTATATATAATTAAATCAACTATTAATATTTGTTATATTTTTTTAAATATATTAATAATTTTTTTAATTAATTTAAAATATTTTTTTTTTTTTTTAAATAATAAAAAATAAAATATTTAAAATTATAAATTAATGAATTTTTTAACTTAACACTCTAGTTAAAAATATTAAAATAAACAAGAAAATAAATAATAGTTTTAAAAAATTTAATATAAAATAAAAACAGAGTCAAGTAATTCACAACATACTAATAATAAATCTTAGTATAAAAATGTTTCTAATTTTTATTAAGAATCCAATTAAACTACATAATTTCCTACCAAAAAGTATTCTAGTTTTGAAAATGCAAGGGATTTATAAAAATACTTAGAACCTAATTATAATATTAAATAAAAAGCTTCTTTATAGTATGAAGATTTTAAAGATAAGTATCATTTTCCTATATAAAGGAAGCATTCGAATTATTCTTTTTAATAAAAGACTAAAGAAAAAGATAGTAGATATACTTTGTAATATTTTAATAAGGAGGAAAATGCGAACTAATATTTATAATAAATATTTAAATAAACTTCTAATGATGAAGAAGAAAATGAAAACTAAACTAATAATAACACTTAAATTGAAATTTAGTAAAAAGAAATTTAAGAAAAAGAACTTTAAATAATAATTTTATAAGAAAAAGAGAGAAAAATGAAATAAAAAGTAGAAGAAATGTAAAAAATAATAAAAGAAAATTAAGAAAGAATTTAAAAAGAGAAAATTGAAGAAGAAAATATTTAAAAAAATTTAAACGAAATTTTAAATAAAAATAATTCTATATAAAGTCAAAATATAGATTTTTAATAGTAAATTGAGGAATTATAAATGAAAAAAAAAAATTAAAAGAGGAAAACAAATAAATAAAATAAAATAAAAATATGAAAGTTAGTTAAATATAAGATATTTAGAAAAAGATTAAGTTTGTGTAAAATATAAATGAAGAAATTATATAAAAAAATTAAAATTTGGAAACAAAAAAAGAAGAATAATATTTATTCTGTACTTAATATAAAAGCATGATTGAATAAAAATTATTAGATTTATATTTAAAATAAAAAAATTAATTAAAATTAAGTAAAAACATGAACAAAAATAAACTTATTTCAATATAAAATCAAAAAAATTAAGAAATCAAAATTTTAAAAGAATAAATTCATTAAAAATTATAACTTTTATAAAAATGAAAAAATTAAATAAAATTTTGATAACTAAAAAAAAAATAGATAAATATATTTATATATATAATATATATAATATATATATATTTAATAATATATATATAAAATAATTTTTTATATTTTCATTATAATTTTTCAATATATTAATTTTTTTTTTCAAAATAATTTATTTTTATTATTTTGTTTTTATCTTGTTCATTAATATAATAGCTATTTTATATATATATTTTTAATTTTATAATATAGTTATTTTTTTTCTCTCTTTTTCTTTCTTTTTATTTATTAATTCGTTTAGGTTTTTATTTAGGTTTCCTATATTATTTTATAAATTTTTATGAATGAGACTTTTCAAATATTGTATATCTTCTTTTAAATTTATTAAATTTTAAAGTTGATTAGCTATTTTGTAACTTATATAATATTATTTAGTTTATATTTTTTAAAATATTTTTAAAAAAATAATATAAATTGATAGCTTTTTAGAAATAACTTTTTGTTATATAAATTAGATTATTTAAATTGTTTTTTTTAATAAATGATAATTTTTTTAAAATATTATTTTCATTAAACTTGATCATATGAAGAAGATATATAATTTTTTATTTTAATTTAAAAATATGCTTTTGCTTAAAACATTAAATGAAAAAGCATTATTTTTTAATAAAATGAATATGAAGAAAAATAATCTTAAAATAGAAAAAAAAATACCATAATAATATATATTAGGTTTTAAATATTAAATTAAAAATTATACAAATTATAAAATAATAATATAACATTAGGTTATGTAATTAAATTTTTTAAAAATGAAAATAAAAATTAAATATT